GAACTTAGCACCTTCCGCCGTGAAAAGCGGCACAGCGGGTGCTGCTGAGGGTCCCTGGGCCCTGAAGGCCTCTCCGTGCTGAGTCCACGCATCTCTGGGTGTCTCAGATGACCCCCTCGAAGAACAGAGCCGGGCTGGAGCAGGAGGGGGACCGGCCAAGCAGGACTCCTCTGCTGCCGTGCTCTGGCTAGGATCGCGGCGTGAACTGTCTGCATCTGGGGGCAAAGACACCCTGAGATGCTCACCAGGCTTCTGGGTTTGGCAGAAAAGGTTTGGAAAGGTGTCGACAGTCACAGCAAAGCAGTGTCAAATTCACAATGTAAAATAATGCATGAAAAGACCTTCCACCCTTGTGCTTGATTTGTGTTTATCTGGTAAAACTCAAAATAGGAATTTGGGCAAGGGTTTCACATCTCTGTTAAACAGGTTACTGTTAACTGGGAGAAAATTAATGTGTAATCTCGAAAAGGAACACATGCAAGTATTATGGATCTCATACAGAAAATCTGCAGTGGTGTGGACTCCTGTTTATTTTCTTTTTCATTCATCCCCACACAGTGAATGTGATGATCCGGGCTCCTCCTGTGTTCACAGCTAAAAATTCATACTGTTTTAGGAAATCTTTGTTCATAATAGATGCAACTAATAGTCCTGATTTGTGAGCGAGGGTAGGCAGAACGCTAGTTAAACATTAGATAGCCATTTGCCAGAGAGGCTGCAAAGGCAAACAAGCAAAAAGCTGTGTGCCAGGGTCAGGGGGAAGAGATAAAATTAAACAAATGTTAAATAACTGTCCTGAAGGACAGATACTGTGTTTTCATGGAAGTCTGTATTGCTGCATCAACAAGAGGTCCCACCTTATCTCACACATTTTTAATTTAGATGAATTTCCAATGAGGCATGCTACTTGACTGTCCCTGGAAGGGGCATGGTAGAGGAGGAGACCAAGCAAGGAGGAGCAGAAGAAGGCTGCCTGTGGCAGCACAACTGGTTTACACTGGTTTAAAGTGATTGTAAAAAGGATAGCAGCATGTGCGAGACACTGAGAAAAAATGCTTTCCGTAGTGTTTGGATTTGTCAAAGCAGAATATGTAAAAACAGACAGAACACAGGCATTTAAAAAATAGTATTTTTCCCTTTGTGTTGTACTGCAGTACAGGGTCATGTATTTAAATTGACGGTGTCGCTTGGAGTCCCAAGCACAGAACAAGGTAATGTTGTAGCTGGAGTTGTAAACAAACTAACAAAAAGCTGGGCAAAACTGCAACTGTCTTGTTTGTAATTTTTTCCCAGGAAAGAAAATCCCTCCTTGGGGAAAGATAGAGCAGACACAGTGATCATCGGTGGTGGTTGTGTTGGTGTGAGTCTAGCCTATCACTTGGCTAAAGCTGGCATGAAGAATGTTGTTCTACTGGAAAAATCTGAGCTCACTGCAGGATCTACATGGCATGCAGTAAGAAATGTCTTGTTAATCTCTCAGATTATCCTAGGTTTGTAATCTAATGGTGACAGAACTTTTCATGATCCTTATATTCCCTGCTTTTCCAGAGATTCATTATCCTGTGTTTTTTTTCCGTAGATGCAACCTTTAGCATGGAGTTCTGTGTATACTTGCTATGTGAATTTTGTGAAGTTGGTTCAGCTATCCATAATAATCTTTGCTCATTTTGTAAAATTTGTGATAAATGTGTTTTGAAATTACTAGATGGGAAGTACTCAAATACAATGATAACTCTTAATATTATAATACACTTGTGGCAGTTAACTGATCTTGTACTTTTGAACTTTAGTTTAGTTTGAACTTTTTAGACTATAGTGTTTATTTCTAAAGCAGCCTAGTTTATGTTGCAGACTGTACCACTGGTGATGGTTGTATTGGCATGCCTAAAATAGAAGTGTGAAATTTGGCTTCATTCTGTGTGTAATTCCTTTTCATATATACGCCATCCTGGAAGAGAGGTGATTAAGGAGCAGCATCAGTGTCCAGTTCTCAGAAAGTATTACTGTCCCAGAGTTTACTCTAGTATTACTAGCTCTCTAATAGGGCTCTCTCTGCAAGAGCTCTCTTTTCTGCTATTGAAGGAGCAAAATGAACAACAATGAACTGTTTTTCCAGGGCTAAATGTTTGTCTGTACCCTAAGAGAAAGAACTGGAAAGACATATAGCTACTAGTTAAAGCTGGGGACACCTCCCATAGTTACACTGATTTAGTGGAGATGATGGTGTACAACATACATGTATGTCGTACATGCTATGTATTTGCTATGTCAATGTCTGCAGTGGGTAGTGTAATGAATTAAATCAAGCTTGGCACAAAAAGAGCTGCTTTTTCCGCTCACTTGCACTGAGGCTTGGATGAAAATAGAAGAAAATTATCCTAGTATGTAGCAATAAGAAAGAATGCAAAAGCAACAACCTGCTATCCCTAGCACTGCTCTATTCATACAATGGAGCATTTATGCCATGCATGTAACTATAATATCTGAGTACCTTTCAGAAGCACATTAAGGGGACTCATACAGACTATGAGTCTTCTCTCATACATTCTCATCCTCTTCCTTGTCTGAAGTCTGAAGTATTTCAGTACTTGTGTTTCGGGCTTTATGAAAGAAAAACGTAAAAAAAAAAAAAAAAGATCATAGCTAGGGATATCAAGGTAGGTCTTATACTTCGTTTTACTTTCTTTTCAACAAAACAAAACAAAACACATTTTATGGAGTTGGAAAGACAAAATTCAATAATTGTGTTCCTTTTAGACAGAAACATAACACAGCTGATACAGTTTACTGATACTGACACAGCACTATGCATCGGAAGTGTCAGATTAAATGTTTAAAGAAATGCTTTGTTTGAAGCATACATGAGCGAGGCACAGACTGAAATCTATTTACCCAAAATATTTACAGAAAAAATGTGCGTCAGAAGATCTCCTTACTGAATAAGAAATCATGGAAGTGGGGTTTGTTACCAAATGTTTCCTTTATTGTAGTTATTAGACTCTCTCATGCAGATTCATTGCTCATAAAAGCAACCTTTCCTTCCAAATTTTAGCATGCACTTCTTAATGAAGTTAGTGATGGAGTATTGGGTGAGGAACTCTGCTATAAAAGTAGTGGGTGAATGTGCAGCAGGGCAGGTGCCTGAAGGTTCAGCTGGAAGGGCTGCTCTTCACTGCTTGCTGCAGCAGGATGTTGTGTGACTAACACAGCCAGGTATCTAGTCATGATACGGGTTAAAAATGAATAGCGGTTAGGTAAACTACACAGTATATTATCACTCTTTGCTTCACTCAGTATTACAGTGCTGTGCGTGAAGATGAGAAAGTTGGTGATAAATCTGTTTCATATGATATGAAAGATAAAACTGTCACTGTCAGTACTTCTTCATTATGCCAGATACGGTGCATGTATAAGTGGTTTATTTGCAGTGATATAATACTAGGTACAGATGAAAATTACAATACATTTTGAATGTGAAAAGGCACATAGTATATTGCCTGCAGGCAGAAAAGCTGAGAGTCGACTTCAGATGTTGCTGTACTATACCAAATTTTCCCTCTTTCATAGTCCAGCAAGTTCTGCCAGTGCTCAGGGTCGTATTTCAGATGGATCATATTCCTGCTAATGTTTCTGCCAAAACTTTCTTCCCCTTCTTAGATCTGACATAGATTTGGCTGACTTTCATTTTATTTAAATGAAAACAGCACTGAAAGTATGCACATTTTCATAGAATCATAGAATCATTAAGGTTGGAAAGGACTTCTAGAGATCCTCTAGTCCAACCCTCCTGCACACACAGGGTCACCTAGAGCACAGGGTGGCATCCAAGTGGGTTTTGAAGATCTCCAGAGAAGAAGATTCCACAACCTCTCTTGGCAACCTGTTCTAATGCTCTGTCACTCTCACTGTTAAAAAGACTTTCCTTAAGTTCCTGTGGAGCTTTTGATGCTTCTGTTTCCAGCCATTTCCTCTAGTTCTATCAGTGGCCACCAGTGAAAGAGGCCAGCGCCATCCTCCTCACTGCCTCCCTTGAGGTACTTATAGACACTGATCAGGTCTCCTCTCAGTCTTCCCTTCTCCAAGCTGAGCAGGCCCACCTCTCTCAGCCTCTCCTCATAGGGCAGATGTTGCAGATCATCCTCATAGCCCTGCACTGGACTCTCTCCAACAGCTCCACATCCTTTTTGTACTGTGGGGCCCAGAACTGGACACAATACTCCAGATGTGGCCTCACCAGGGTTGAGTCTTGGCCACGAGGGCACACTGCTGCCTCATGGTCATCCACTATGACACCCCCAGGTCCCTCTCTGCAGAGCTGCTCTCCAGAAGGTCAGTCCCCAGCCTGTCCTGGTGTCTGGGGTTATTCCTCCCCAGGTGCAGGACCTTGCGCTTGACCTTGTTGAATTTCATAATGTTTCTCATCACCCAGTTGTCCAGGCTGGCAAGACCCCTCTGGATGGCAGTGCAGCCCTCAGGGCTATCGGATACTCCTCTCAGTTTGGTATCATCAGCAAACCTGCTGAGGGAGCACTCTGTGCATTTTTATTTTTTGTAGCATTTTTATAATAGCAATAACGAGATACATAAATAACAGAGCAAGTGCTGCTCATACTTGTATCTATCTAACTATGATAAAGTAGTGGTTATTATATGTGTATAAATTAGGTTAGGACTCAGAACTTAAGACCTCCTGAAGTTCTTGTCTACTACTACAGATGAGATCATTTGCAATCTTACTGGAGCCTTGAGTACTGAACGGAGCACATATAGCTCAGCAGATAGGTTTTCCCATAGTAATTCTTTGGCAAGGAGTTTTCTAAGGAAATGTTTATTTTATATCGTTCTGTTATGTAATACTTTTCTGTGTAACAGTCAATTGATTTTGCTGCTGATAGTTAATAAATCACAATTCAAATAAAAACTTGTTAAGACTTGGTCAAACTTGCAAGGACAGAGAATGTAGGAGATAACTGTACTAATGCCAGTTCTCTTCCAAATTCCATTCAATAATTGAATTTTTATAAAATGTGAAATGGAGTAGAATAGAACAAAACTGATAGATGAAAATTTCACTATATGAAAATTTCAACCTATGAAAGTGCTTTAAAATCTCAGCATTTTATAGTATAGTGATCATACCTAAAAAACTTTCACATCATGTTCACAAACTTCAAAAAAACTCTGTCATATAAAAAAGAGCAAAACTAAGAGTATGTCTCTAAGAGGAAGTTGTAGAGATTGAGTGTGGTCCCTAACAACGAGAGAAAGGCAAGTGGTGTATTCCAAAAGGACAATCAAGGAAACTACAGGCCTCTTAGCCTTACTATCATTCCTGAGAAAATCTTGGAGCAAGTCTTTGATCACATTTCTGGGCACATGAGGAGACTGGGAACAGCCAACATGGATTTGCCAAGAGTAAATCATGCCTGATAAACTCAATTGCCTTTATGAAGGCAATAGGATAAAACAACTTGAATTTTGGACAAAGCAGGAGTAGTAGAGGTCATTTACCTCATCTTTAGCTAGATTTTAGACACTGCCTTCCATAGTATTCATGTATACAAATTAAAACATTTTAGTCTGGATGTGTGAACAACTAGATGGTTAAAAAATGTTAGATGGTTTGACCTAGACGGGAACAGTTAATGGGCCTCTTGTAGGCAGGAACAGGAGGAGTACTGGGGGGATCTGTCCTGGGATCCATCCTCTTTAGTGTCTTTATCAATGATCTGGAGGAGGTAACAAAGTGAACACTCATCAAGTTTGTAGATGACACCAAATTCAGAGAACCTGACAACCTGTACAAAGGCAAAGGCTGCCATGCTGACAGGCTGGAGGGATGGACTGAGAAGAACCACACAAAATTCAACAGAGACAAATGGAAAGTCCCATAGTTGGGCAGGGAGGTAATAGCGTCTCTGTCCTTGAAGGTTTTCAAGACCAGGCTGGAGAAATCCTGGACAAATTGATTGCATAGCTGATCCTGCTTTGAGCAGGAGGCTGCACAGGAAGATGTTCATTTTGATACAATTCTTTTCATTTTGATACAATTCTACCAGGTTTGAGTTGTCTCCTAACTCCGCTCTTTAAACAAGCAACATTCTTCATCAAAACCAAAAGACATTGTATATGTTTACAATTATTTTCTTTGCTCAAAAATATTAGAGCTGCTGGTTTAATTCTGCCAGTAAATGCTTTTGAATTTGTATTATTTTGTGGCTAACCTATAAATAATTCGTTGTTCATTTTGTTCAAAACTGCTTTACCTGACAGTAACTGCTGCAATAGAATTCCATTGCATTGGAAGTGAGAAAAGTTGACACAGTTTTCTGGTACATGTAAATGAATTATCCATAGTTTTTTGAAAATGGCTGAAGAAGTGTGAACATTTCAGTAGTCAATGCATAATGTATTTCTTTATTCAGTTTATAGAGCAAAAACACATTTAAAGCCTATTAAAAAAATCAAAAAAGTAAGCCTAAATTATGAAAGCTTCAGTGAAACAGCTCTGGGTTTTAGTCTGAAGAAATTAAAATTAGCATGTTTACAACAGCATAAAACATGTATGTCAAAAGCAGTTTTAGCCCAACATCTCCAGCACTGTCCAGCGTGATGCTGATATGGTATGATCTGATATGATAGTAAGAACAGGACAGGTATGTAGCAACATACTCCTAGAAAATTAACTTAGCCCATTAATTTGTATTTTAGGGACATTATGAATCCATGGTGCTGACTTTGTGTTTAATATGACTCTCAGCGGATTTTTTTTTTTTGTCCTCTGCAGGTTTGTTCAGTCACTTTTTGAACTCAGATTGTTCAAGTAATGAAGAGCACTGAATATAGTTTGGAACTGGAGACGAATGTATGGATGAAATATAATCACAGTTAAAAAAAATACAACACTGGTAGTTTATTAACTTTAAATAGTTTTTGTTGTATATTAAGTCTAAGATGCTAGAAAGATAAAATCCTCATAAAGTCAGGGAAAAAAAAAAGGGAAAAAAATCATTGATCCTTTTCCTGTGAAAGGAAATTAAAAGTCTTGGATGAAATATACACAAACTATCATACTCTCCTAAACTCTGATCCAAGTTAGTTCTTCTCAGATTTCTGGACGTGATCCCTAGGAGCATCTCAAGAATCTAGCAGGAATCATAGAGCCAGTGCTGTTTAATCCACCACTGTTCAGATTGAATGGCAACAGTTTTAAGAAGCAGCTGAAATTAGTGGTGCTGAATGTACTAAGAATTAGGTTGCTACCTGTCTTTAGCCGATAGCAACAATTTAGTTTCTCCAGAGTAGAGAGGTTAACAAGTTGTTTTTAGTGGCTGAATTAGTAAATATTAAATACCCTATTCTGGAAGAACCTACCTGCTGAACCTAGACTAGAAGAATACTGTCTTCCACCACCCTGTTGGTCACACCACAGGAAAGTAATAACTTGTTCAGATTTGGTCTTTGTGAAGGTTTGGTTTCTATCTCATGCCCTTTTGCAAAAAGCAAAAGGACTTGCTACAGGACTTCTACTGAGTACCTTTAGAGACCTTCAGAGACCAGCAAATGAGTTGTATGTCTTTTCCAAAAGATTTGGAACAGACAACTGAGTAATTTAAGGGAGAAAGGAAGTCACAGGAGAGAACAAATGCAAAGGTATCATAACTTGATAGAACTAATGGAAAAGACAAGTGGAAAAACATGTTTTCAGGGAACAAGAATGGCATAAGTAAGGAAAGAACTTTATTGTTGTAGTGGATGGCTCCATTCATGTGTTACTTTTCGTTACAGTAACTTGACAGTTCCTTTTTGAATGACAGCTGGAAAGAGAGAAAGAAAATGGTTAATTTCTAATTACATCCTTAATGTTTTTTCTATTTTTTATTTGAGGCTGGTTTAACTACTTACTTTCATCCTGGAATAAACCTAAAGAAAATCCATTATTACAGTATCAAATTATATGAAAAGCTGGAAGAGGAAACTGGGCAGGTAAAATCCTTAATTTTTGAAGTACTAATTCAGATCAATATTAATCTTACTAAAAGCCCTGTAGAAGCATTTGGGCTTGGCAAGTCGTGTGTCCTTATGTTAATGATTATCATAAGGCTAAGCTTTTATTGATTTTTTTTCTTGCATAAATATGCTTTAACCTGGTTCTTATTCACTAAATATTTTAGAAATTTTCCAAGATCCCTCTAATCTTTAAGAAAATGATTTTCATCAAACATCTAGGAAACTCATGCAGACTGAGTGTGTGCAGCTCTGGATAGGAGTTAAAATAGCATCAAGGATGTGGAATGAACAGATTGATTATTGTACATTCCTGCTTTAAGCATGACTGCTGGAAAGCACACATGATATGATGCTGTCTGTGGTTGAGAAGATTGCTGCAATTCTTCCTGTCCCTCTCAGAGCTGTGGTTTTATTTAGTGACCTAAGGAATGGGTATGTTGAGAAATACGGGAGTCATTTTTTTTATCTGTCATCATCCAGCCATATATTTTCCATTCACAAAACATATGCTTGCTCAAGTTGCAGCAGAAACCGTAATACAACCTGCATGATCCTGATCTCGCAAGTCTACTAATTTGGTAATTGCCATAAAATGCCTTTTGCCTTGTACTGTCACTCACCTAAGACATTACAGCAAATTATCATTGTGAGTTCTTCTACAAAATGTCTTATCTGCTGTATTAATGTGCTGTGAAGTAAGAGAAGCATAAGTTAAATTATATATGCCAGAAAGTGTTCAACTAGATAGAGTTTTCTATGTTACTAAGAAGAGAAAAAAAGGAGGGAATTATTTATTTTGAATCAGTAAAGATGCTTGATCAGTTAAATTTATTTATATTCTCAACAGAAAACTATGCAGGTGATAAACTTTAATGAAAATTGCAATAATTCACTTTTTCCTCTTCGTTTCAGATTGTGGGGTTTCATCAGCCTGGCAGCATCAGGATTGCTTCAACCCCTACTAGAGTGGATGAATTCAAATATCAAATGACTCGTGCTGGTTGGCACCCAACAGAGCAGTACTTAATAACGCCTGAGAAAGTGCAAGAGTTGTTTCCCTTATTGAATATGGATACGGTAAAGAAATTTTAGGAAAAATAATGTCTATTGCTATTAAATATTGGTCTACCAGATATGTAGATCTAGAGCCTGTTTCTTTGATGCAATTTGCATAAAGGTTCTTGTTTTGCAGTGGAAAAAAGAGCAGACTTCCATGCATTTCAGCGCATATTCTATGCCATAATATTGAAACACCAGCATTGTATGGGAGAGCTGACAAATTTTACTTTCTTAGAAGCACTATTTAGCCAGCTAGCTTTAGATTTTGTAACATTGTACAGTTTTAAAAATTTATAACATTATATAGTTTTAAATTTTTTAAAACCTAATCTCCACTTAGGTTTTGGCCGGCCTGTATAACCCTGGTGATGGACATATTGATCCCTACTCTCTCACTATGGCCTTGGCTGCAGGAGCCAGAAAATATGGTGCTCAGTTAAATTACCCAGTCCAAGTGACTAATCTGAACTTCCGGTCAGATGGGAAGTGGGAAGTTGAAACTCCACTTGGAATAATTCAAACGAAAAGAGTTGTGAACACTGCAGGTAGGTTTTAACATAAGCATTTGTGTACTCTTGAGACTTGCAGACCACTTTTTATTGAGCATCTGTACTGAACTGTCTAGATTACAGAAACAGGTAATACAGGTTTATGAATCATAGAATCATATTCTGAATATATTACTGTAACAATATTGTGAAAAATTGACTTAATTATCCTTTATGAGACATGAATGATATTTCTTTCTGGTTAAGCAGTTAGTAGCTAGACTGTCTTGTTAGATTTATTAGCCTACAGTAAACTACGTAGAAGAGACAGAGAGTTACTGCCTATGCAACTTGTCCTCTAAACTTACAGGACCTCTTATAAGTGCTACCTAGGAAGGAAAACAGAAAGGAATTAGAAATGTCTTTGCTATTTTTTCAGAGACTGAGGACTTGCTGCCAGTAAGATAACACTGCCTATTCCACTATTACCTTTCTGCAAAGCTTGACTCTATCCACATGTTCTTGAACCAGAAGGTTTTTGTTTCCCTTTAATTAGTATTTTGAGCATGTACTTGACTTAACAATATAATTTTTTCATGGAATAGAAGTTTCCTAATTCAAGGTTGCTCGTATTTATATGTGTGATTTTATATTCATTGCTTTAAAGAAGTCAAATTGATGTTTCTGTTTCAAAGAGCTTTTGGGCAAGAATTTCTGTTTCTGTTTTACTAAACAAATCAATAGGTCTAAAAACCGGTCCGCAAAATAAACATGTTTTTTATGCCACTTTCTGTTTGGTAAGTAGAATAACTATGGCTTGTAGTTGGAATTATGAGTGAATTGGACTAGAGGGGAAATAGACTTGGAGGAGAGAAGAGCTTCAGAAAGGTTCCTGGAGATGGTTGGAGCACTTACAGCAAGTGGAAAGTCTGCGAGTGAGAGGACTTGCTGGCTAAGAAAGCTCAGCCTGGGGGTGGGTATCACAGAGGAAGTAACACCAAAGAGCTAGAGAGCAGAAAGGAAACTGAAATGATTAATTAAGGGAACTGGAGCTTTTTTTAGGCAAAAATATTAGGGAAGGTACTTGAGGATTCGCTCCAGGCAAAATTGGGGTTGTAAAATTGAGACTCTGTGAGTTGTCTGAAGAGTAAAAACTGGTGGAGGGAAAGGTAGATGCAAGTAGATCGCAAGGAAGAGAAACCAGGTAAGGCAGGAGGACAAGGAGGAACACTGTTTTGCACATGGAGTGAGAGAAACTAGCTGAAAAGGATATTAGGACAAGTTTAAGATGGGATGAGAAAGAGAGAAGCTTGTGATAGAGAGAAGATTGGAGGGAATGTGATGAAGGATTGAACTCAGAGAATGAGCAGAAGAAATGTGCTTAGTAGGTGACCTTCCTCTCAGTGGTGCATGCGGGGAACCTTGTTAGATCATTGCTGCCTTTTAGAGCAACTGGGAAACCAGGTGGCGAAGGATGCTTTCTCTTCTGCTCTTAACAGCACCCATAGGTGATCACTTGCTATTGTAGGCAGCTTGGCTAAAGTGGCAGGGGTGTGTAAAGTTCATCTCGAGGCTTCAAACCTGCCAATTATGCTGTTATGATCTCAATAGTCAATCAATCTGGGAATGATCTGGGATTACAGAATCGAAAAGCAGCTCTTTTGGCAATCAGACCTCTTATTTAGGCCCCAAATTTCTAGGCACTCATTGTTTTGGACTCTTAGGTTTGCAACATGTTAATGAAGTATTATAAATGAAGTCTTTCCTTCTATATTTGTAGCACAACTGTCTCTCTTTTGGGTATGCATCAAGTTGACATTAGGTAGAGTTTTCTAATAACTACTTTTCAAATTTTGTTTGCAAAACCAGCATGCACCCTTCTGAAATTTTCATAGTCTTTTTTTGATTTAATAACTTACCAAACCAGAGACATGTTTAGTCAATTCTCATGTGTAGCTAACTGTTCTGCCAAATGAACATCTGAAGCACATATTGCTTAACATTCTGGCTTATGATGTGAAATCAATACTATGTAATCCATATCTTTTATAAATATTCTGTCAGCTAACATTCATTCTTCTCAGCCTTGCCTCATTCCTCTACAGATCACGACTGATATAATTCAGAGCTCATGCTTTAGGCTCATGTTGCAGTCTGAGCATTGAAGAATACATCTGAGGGCTTTTACATTCTCTCTTCCCCCCACCCTAACTGACATCTGCTGTGGAACTGGAACAAACTAGTTCCAACCAATTTTTAGCTATTCCTTATGTGAGATTTCCATCTGCAAAGAAAGCAGATCCCTAATAAATAATTCCTGACATGAACTAACTTGTATTGAGCCTGGTGAAGTGATTTGCAGCCTACTTATAATAGAATGATTGATTAAAATCTCCAAAAATGTTGAGTTTTGGTTATATATGTAGTAGTATGCAGGAGTATATAAACACACAGGTGCATGCCTGCACACATTCAATCTCCCTATTGTTTTACATATATGTAGTGATGGAAGATTTTCTCCTGATTTTTTTTTAAACAAGAGTTGGAATGCGTAGTTCAACTGTGCATTCAAGATATGCTAAGTATTACCACCAATAAATGTTTCAGCATCAGATGTTTGCAATCTCTACAATATAATCATTACAACTGTCTCAGAGATATAATTTACACCTTCATTTATCTCTACTATGGGTGGTAGAGCTTGACATCTGCTTCCAATTAGGATTTTATATCAGTGAACATTGCCATTTTGTGTAATGGCCTTTGCACATGGTTCAAAAACTTTAGACAAAGAAACTGTAATATATTTCATTTAGTAAATCCCTGCTGTTGTTATTCTTGGTGATTAAATGAACAAATAGCTTAAGTGTGAACTTCTTTTCTAGAACTGCATCATTTAAGATTTTGTATTGAGCATACCTGAACCTTAGTTCAACAGCAATTCAACAACTCTAATTTTATATGATTGCAGAAGATTAATTTTTTTTAAAAAATCTTAATTCTATTTTCAAAGAATCAAAGCTAAGAATGAAAAAGCTAAAATTTAGTCTACCATTTTTATTTTGTTTGAATATCTTTGCTGTCTGTATTTTACCACTGGTACCATATACCGGGTAAGCCAAAGTATGAAATTATTAAAATTTGTTAGAAACACATTCTTGGAGCATCATTCTTTTTCAAAATATCTCTTGGAAGTCCAAGCAGTTTTGGCAGAAAAACAGGGTGTAATACTAAAGATGGAATGTTCTGCTACTTCACTCTACCCTTTTCCAGCATTGGTCATTAGCTGGCCATACCTTAAAATAGTGATCTTGGTAGATCATTTGGAAATGTCCAAATCAAAATAATTCCCTAAAATTGGTTCCCTGACATGTCATTGTATTTTATCACATATGTATCTTCTCGTCTTCACACATTTATGATGTTCTCACATCATTTTTTCCTACATAACTGGAAAAATTTGAGCCTTGTAGGTTTTCAGTATGTTTACAGATCTGAAAGATTTGTGCCTTTCCCACACAGGGGTTTCGTGAAGAATTAGCTCCTTTTCATTTGAATCAAAGCAAGCAATTACTACTTTGATGAAATGTTATTTGTTCTGTCCAAAAACAAACAAAAAAGAGTGAATTTTAATGGCTTTCTCCAGATTGAAGAGCAGATTCTCTACTGATTTTGTGGGAGGACTGCTCATTTACATTAGTCAAAGAATTCATCCTAATGGTGCTGAGAGGTCTAAAGCACCTTTACATTACTACAATACGTATAAGCAATAGCTGTAGTTGTCTAGTCTCTGGCCTGGACTTGGTAGAAAAGGGCACTGTGCATGAGTAGCTGGCAAACAAGAGTGAATACATTCCATTTTCTGGTATCTGCCAACTCCAGGCACCTCTAGCCTCCTGTCAAATCCACACCTGTATTTGTCATGACTAATGAAACAAGCCTTCACAAAGGGCTACAAATTCAACATCATTGCAACTTTTTGGTTATTCTCTCTATAAAAGTGAAACAGGTTTCACTAGCCTTAAAGGACATGACTGTGACATGATTTCCTTGACCTAATTTGATTAACTTAACAACTGCTCTGTTAGTGAGTCCCCTCCAGGTCTCCTCAGGACCCTAAGAGCTAAATTTTGACCAGTTACTGGAAAACATGGAAGTGGAGATGGAGGTGGAAACATGTAGGTATGAAGCCAAGTGAGCAGTAAAAAAGAGGAAGAATGCATGTTAAGTCAAGTATCACGAATATAAGTGCCAGGAGACTTGATGTTAGGTAGCAAATCTTATTGGAGACATTTTACATAAACAATTCAAGATTAGCTGGTTACACAGGAAACAGGATGAACTGCCTCCTTTTGCTGGATGATCATCAGTACATAGTCATTTATTTTAAAGACCCCACAACCTCTTCTTGCTCTTCCATTCTCCTTCTCCCAACACTGGTTCTCAACCCCACAGGCTCCTCTGAGACTGCTGCTTCATTGAATTTTCCCCCTGCATTCCTACTTCTTGTATGTCCATTCCTGGATCCAAAGAGTCAGGAGAGTGAGGTGGAGGGATATTCCAAACTTCTTCAAGCAGCTGCTTTCCCACTTCCCTGTATTTGTCTGATTCCCTGCTCAGTATGTTGCATGCCCACATCAGGCATGAGCTGGGATGCAGGGCCCAAATGGGCATACCAGACAGAACCAGTGGGCACAGTTAGCTTGGATGCACTTTGGCTAGTCCTGAGGAACCTTAACACAGACTTAGGCCTTCTTTAAATTAACATCTTGTAGTGTACGTGAAGGAAATGTGAATGGAAGTTGCTGCTCCCTTTATTTGATCACATGTGTATCAGAATTTCTAACTGAGTATCTGTGGAAGAGCAAGCTGACTACTCTCTTGGCTGTTCTCTTGAGTAAGTATACCAGCTCATTTGCTGGATAGTAAGAGACTAGATTAAGACATATGATGTGAGCCAATTTATTTGTGCTAGAGCTGTGTTTGCAGATGTATTTACTGAAATAAACCATGGGGTCTATGGGACTGTTAATTAAAATCCCTATGAATTTTCTAGGAGCTTAATCCATTTATGTTTCAGCTTTATTTATGATCAGTGGTACACTGGAAAAATGTATGGTGGTATAATTGGGAGCAAGAAAGTGAAGGGTATCAAAAACTATGCTAGATCATAGGAAAGATAAATTGAAAAATTAAAAGTATGGAGAAAGTGATATCTTTCTCGCCTTCTGTAAAGCACAATTGACCCTTATTTTTTTTTCCCTGAAATAAATGTTTGAATATTAATACTTTATTTATTGTCTTCTGTAGGCTTCTGGGCCCGTGAAATAGGCAAGATGATTGGTCTGCAGCACCCTCTCATACCAGTTCATCACCAGTATGTTGTAACATCAAGTATCCCTGAGGTGAAAGCCCTGAAAAGAGAACTGCCTGTGATTCGTAACTTAGAAGGATTGTATTATCTAAGGCAAGAAAGGGATGGACTTTTATTTGGTCCATATGAAAGCCAGGAGAAGATGAAGCTACAGGACTCATGGGTAACACATGGAGTCCCACCTGGTAATTAAAACCTTTTTCCTTTAAACTGATAAGCACTAGCATGCCATTTAATATGTATAAATCCCATCCTGTCACACTGCCTGACTTGAGGAAACATGGAAATAACTTGCAATGTGCAATTGCAGTTCAGGAACTATTTTTTTCAAAGAATGGTTATAGCCTCTAGTTAGGAGTAAATAGAAATAACACAGCAACCTAAAAAGACTGTTTGAAATAGGCACAAATATATGTCTAAAACATGGTCTAGCCCTACTCTCTGAACAGGTGATTGCGGTGTTGTGATGAGATCCAGTCATTAAATCTAAGAGTTGTAGGCTTTTTCACTTGAGTAGGGATTGTTCAAATCTACAGCTCTCTCCAGTATGCTGGCAGGGGCTTTGGATTTTTGCCTGCTCTCCAGAGATAAGTGCAGTGAAACAGAAATACAGATGCAGTAAAGCAATGTCTTAGACAAAGTGCTGTGATCAGAAATAAGTGAAAAGAGTTGTGGGTTAGTAGATTTTTTTTTCAGAAAAAAAAACTCAAATCAACTACCTGAAGCATCATATTGCTGCTTATGAAAATGCATTGTATTTTCTATATCAATATCTAGACCCAGCTCTCTGCTCACTTCTGGGCAGAATCAATGGTCATGATGATTAAAAAAACACATGTTTCCGGACATAGAACAACCAGTCTTGCTGGGCACTGAATTGCTCTGTCATAGCTTCCTCCAATTAGTGTCTCCACTAGTATCAATTCTACTCACTGCTACAATGTGAGGTTCAGTAATGCTCAGAGCCCAGACTAAAGGTTGAAATATATCCAGGAATTCCCTATACACCGAGGAAATCATAAGCTGACTCAGGCAGTGTCTTTCCTTCCCTCCCCAGATTGTTGCCATCTTGATAGAAGTAAGCAGTTTTTGTTAACAGGAAAGGAAATTTCTGTGTTTCACCATCTCCTTCCTACTTCACTGTTGAATTTGTGTGACCTTAGGGTTAAACAAATACATATGAAAGGTGATGTAAATACAGTGACAGTAAACTTGATCCTGCAGGGAACTTGTGGTTTATGCACACCATTTTTCTCCCTTAGGATGAGAAAGGCTTGAATGTGTACCAACAATTCCATATAACAGTGATACATGCAGATTGCATAACTGTATTGAAAGTATAAGTATTTTCAGTGCAATTGACAAATATATAATATGAGTCAAATATTTGTGCAGGTTTTGGAAAAGAACTTTTTGAGTCTGATTTAAACAGAATAATGGAATATATTGAGGCTGCTATGGAAATGGTACCTGTTCTGAAACACGCAAACATCATAAACACAATTGCGGGTCCTATCACCTATACTCCAGACATTCTTCCTATGGTGGGACCACATCAGGGTGTCAGAAATTACTGGGTAGCTATTGGTTTTGGGTGAGTAAATTTATTGCTACAACTTTTGTCCATCACCTTGTTAAAATGGCAGTCTGACTTTTGCAAAAATCTGTGGTTTTGGGGGGTGTTTTTTCTACGTACTGTATGTAAAATGTCTTTGCAAGTAGCCTTAATCACTGGGACCCAAGCTCTTCCTTCTTTCTTACAGCTTCCTCATAATTCTCACTATTTTTCAGTTTGTTTCCTTCCCTCTTTCTTTTGAAAGGTGATGTTAGTGACACATGAGAGGGCAGCAAGAACTGAGTGGCACTTGGTACTGTGTGTTCAAGAAGCCCAGAAGTTCTGGGTTTTACAAAATGCTTTCCAGTTTATGAATGACTTTGAACTGCATTGTAAGTGTTTGGCATAGGCAGGAAACGGTGTCGCTGAAGCTGGGGTGAGAATGAGTAGCACAAGGGGAACTAACCCACAATGCTGACTTCTGGGTGAAAAATTGAAGGCACACTAAGCAGGAGGCACTGCTGGCATGCTAGGGTTATGGACAAAAAATGGGTCTTACTGGTGTTGCTCATTCTCTCCTGCTCATTTTGGTATTTTCTTTGAATGCCATTTGCATCAAATACACTCTGACTCTACTGTAGTCAGTGGTAAAACTCTTAATGATTTCTCTTTAATTACCTTAGTTTGCTCATTGATTCAGGATAAATAGAATGAACTAAATCCAATTCCAGGCACATGTTATTGAACATGTTCTGTTTACACTGTTCTTCCAATTGCCTAATTTGCGGTTCAAAATCCAGCTCAGCTTTTTCCATTTTTTTTTTTTTAAGTCAAACCAAACAAACCCTCAGACTGTAAGATAAAGCAGTGTCACTAACGTGCTTTCCCCAAATTAAAAGACTTCGGGAATTTTGCAACAGTTCATTGTGAAAGGTACTCACCTTTGCTACTTGGACTTAAAAAAATAGAGATAGCAGAAGAGAGAATTCTTGTAGCTTTTAATAACATTTACAGAACTTCTAGTTACAGAAGTGGTTTACTAATCCTAGTTCTCCGGAGAGATGGATTTGGTTTGTTAATTATGCTGCCACTCTTTGGGGCTTTTCTTCCATCGTTGGCCTTGATGGAAGAAAAGTTCCGTATACGAACTTTTTTTCTGTATACAAATAACAAATAAATATGCATTTACTTTTCATAAAATATCTTATTTCAGGAATCTAAGTAATCTCTAGAAACTTAGATCAAGGTTGCAGTTATGTTGTCTAGAAGACAGTCTGTTATTGAATTGTCCTGTCTGCTTTTCAGGGACTTTTGACTCCCTGTTCCGTGCCTCTGGGTCACTGCAGCGTTGTGACCAGTGTTGTAACTTTCTGTGTGCATTAGCAATCCTTATCTTCCAGGCAGCTAGCAGGGACATTGTGACAGAGGGCTTAGTGCTGTTAGTTCAGAGGATTTTTATCATCTAAAATTAGCAGCAGTTAGGCAGTGTAATGTGCAAACAAGTTAATAAGTATCATTAGCAGGGTTTTGTAGCACTGTTTATTATTAAGGTTGCTCAATGCTTCCCATTTAAGACTGTTTTCAGTTGCCTATAGCTTTCAAAATGTTGAGTTGGCTAGAATTTTCTTCAGAAAATTTTAAGTCAAATAACCATTCCACAGAACAAGATTATTGGAAACTATGCTGTTCTGTGAGCTTTAGGTATTTTGGGCATAATCTTTCACTTGAAAAGTTCTGAGGTTGTCTGAGAAGGAACCTGACATTTGGCAGAAATATCTTTTCTCCAGCAGATATGCCTATTTGCCATTCTTCACAAAATCTATACTTGAAGCTAATACGCAAACTTTTAAAAACTTTCAGATCATAGATACTTGATATAGACTCACTAAGCCTTGCACTAAAATTTTTGAATTCTGCCTACAGTGGTATTCTGCAGCCAGAAATTGTGGAGAATTTTTCTTTCTGGAATGAGATAGAAAATGGCTGAACCTGGGAGAGAGACACTAGAAAAGAGACCAAGCAGGGTGGGGACTCTGATTGCTTACGAAAGAGGGATGGAATGAGAACCCTCAGGAGTGGAAAGTAGGTGTGAAATAAGAATAAGAATAAGAATAAGAATAAGAATAAGAATAAGAATAAGAATAAGAATAAGAATAAGAATAAGAATAAGAATAAGCATAGGGAAGGGACAACACGAAAGGTGGACTGTGGAGAAAAAAAATATGGAGCCAGGTGTAGGGCTGTATCCATACCACAGAGCTGCCTGGGAGGCTCCCTTGCCCTGGGCTTACCCTGCTTGACTCAACGTCCTTCAGCCCAAGCAGAACCCTTCCCTGTCGCCTCGTCTGTCGCTGGCCACAGTCACACGGCCGTCTCTGCCTCGGGCTTCAGCAAATGGCACTGGGAGACATGAGCTGGCTATACTTGCTTCTGGAGCTGTGCCTGGAAGCAAAGGGTTCATGCTCACAGCATTTAGCCTCATGAACTGCCTAACTAACATCAGTGACTTGCACGGTGGCTCACCACAAGCGCTAGTCTTTAGTGCATCAATTGCAGTGATACAAACTTGCACTGAGAATCTGAAGATTTCTGCTGAACAGGAGTGTGTTTGGCAGAATGACTTCATGTGTCCAACGGTTTTTGTGTGTGTGTTTTACTTTTAGAAAATGAAAAATTACAGATAAAAAACCACTGTATGACAGTAATCCCTTAAAGATCATGAAATCAATCATTCTGAAGTTAGGAAGTACCAGAACTAAATTGCCTGTGTAATTTGAATTCCTTATGCATATACATTAGTATTAAATAACTACATTCTACTCATTCCATAAGATCTTTGCCTGTTTAATTCAGGGCATAGAATTCAGAACGCAAAGCTGATGGCAGCAATTCAGATTTGTTGTAGCTTCACTATTCAGTGTAAGTCTCTGATTTAATTACTGCATTCTAATCGGAGTTTAATTTCAGGACTGAGTTAGTGTTTCATCAAGGATTTTTCTATCACACTCATCGGAACATTTCACAAGTAGCAAATTTATTTTGACATGCCCTTTAAATGGAACAATGCTTTGTACCTTTTTAGGCACAGAGATATTTACAGAAATTTTTAATTCGCAGAGATACTAAAATCAAATGTTTTACATCATTATTAACAACTAATTGTTATCACACCATTCAGTTCCACAGTCCAGTCTGAGATGCCTGTAGTTTGGCATTGCACAGTACTGTTTGGCCATATCTAGACAGAGTAGTGACACACTCATATTGCAATAGGCCAAAGAACTTTGTCTCCCAGTTGTCCGGTTCAGGGACCTGGCTGGAGTATGTCTAACAAATGGCCTTTCCCCTATGAAAATGCAGACAGCAAGCATTTTGAAAGTTTGAATTAAGATGCTTACTTACAAAGTGGCTCACATAAAAGAACCTTAAATCTGTTATTTCCTGACTTTGGAATGCCTGCCTTTATGACTGATATTGTTCCTTTAATACAGGAAATCTCTACAGTCTGATCCTTTACACACTCATTAGGTAGAAATAGGACAGGTTGTTGCTATAGATTGCCAGCAGAGAACTCCTATGTGCGTATTTTGTTAGTATAAATGTAATGGAAGCAGCCCTCCCAATAATTGTAGTGGAAGACAGAGAAGGTATTCCAGGCGAGAAAAGGCAACTCTGCTTTACTTCTGACACCAGTGCAAAAAAGTTTCCTTGTTCTGGTCCCCTATTCCTCCACCTTTCCTTATTTTCTGTGGAGTGGTATAAAAAGTACTCCTGGTATTTCAAGTTTGAGGTCTTTCATTCTTTAAAATTGTCTTGCTAGGGTGGTTCCTTATTTTGTTGTTACTCTCATCAATATAAATACTCATTATAACTACTAGAATATCTCTGTTTTTCAAATCTCAGGATTGAAAAAGAAAAGGTGTCCTATTCCTAAAAAGTATTTTTTTCTCTGAAGTTCAGAATTTAATAGTCTTTCCAGAGATGGTAGAAGTTCTCAACAATCTACCCCGAAGAAAGCTCTCAAACTTCTGATTTACAGAAAAAAAACACTTTCCTATAACCTTATGCACCAGAATTACCAACACATTCGCAAAAGTGTTTTGACACTGGGAAAGTGGTAACTGAATCAACTGTCAGTGAAGCAATATTTGGGGAAAAAAAGATAAAACAAACAAAAAATGAATGAAAAAATGAAAGTATTGTACAGGCTGCGTTAGTAATAAATGCTAATATTGAGATCTTTTTCTGTTTTTAAGATATGGCATTATACATGCTGGTGGCATAGGGAAGTACCTCAGTGACTGGATCCTTGATGGGGAGCCTCCATTTGACTTAATAGAATTAGATCCAAATCGCTATGGAAAGTGGACTACTACAGAATACACAGCAGCCAAAGCAAGAGAATCTTACGGATTTAATAACATCAGTAAGAAGATCATTTCTGAAGTATATTTATATCCTGACAATGAGTTTCAACTAGGGCTGATTCTAGACATTCATGTTTATGTGTATATATATATATATATAAAATATATTCTTTCTTGGTGACGGACAGTACACCATCTTTTAAAAAAAAATTATTATTTTTCTAGTTGGTTATCCTAAAGAAGAAAGATTTGCTGGAAGACCAACAGAAAGAATCAGTGGGCTTTATGATTTACTGAAGTCAAAATGTTCAATGGGCTTTCATGCAGGATGGGAACAACCTCATTGGTTCTACAAACCTGGAGATGAGACTGGATACAAGTAAATGAAAGATTGTGTCTTTTTTTTTTTTTTTTCCTGGTAAAATGTAATGACAATAAGGGCCAGCAGATTTAAACTTAAGGGGAAGCGTATGTTTATCATTTGTTTCAGCTATTCCATTATTGATTTTAAGCAGATTTATTTTTTGTATTTTAGAATTCATTTTTCTGTAATAGTGTAGGCAGTCTAAGGCAGCCATTGAGGTACCCTGTTACTGTTGTGTATATGGGGTATCAGTGAGCAGAGAAGAGGGACTGGAGAATAATCTGTTCTTTATAACTGATGATTTCTTATTTGCTACATGTTTGATCAGCAGCACATATTTCATGGAATCACAGAATGGCTGAGGTTGGAAGGGACCTTTCGAGATCATCTAGTCCATTCCTCCCATTCCTCCTTTGCTTTTTCTCTATGTCTGCCTACCTAGTCACCTGCTTGCGTCAGGGAGTGTGTAGCAGATACTGGAGATGGAGTTCTAAGCTAAAAGAGACTCACAGAGGAAAGAGGAGACACTTCGTGGTGTTCATAAAGTAGAGCTTTGATCCCTTAAACTCAAATAAATGATTCAGCAACAAAACATGCTGTGATTACATAATGAAAAACTACTCGTTCTTCTAGCATTTGAGCAATTCACAGCTTATTGTCCAAAATGGATGATAAAATGTCAGCTAATATCTTACTCTGTTGTTAAAGGCTTTAAGAATTAATCTGTGACTGAGGAAAATATTGGGTAAACTACAGCTAGGAAATCCCATCTGTTTTGAATGATTTTGCCAAATCTGAAGAGTATAGTTTGCTGAAAAGAGCACAAAATGGCCAAATTGTGTTTTACATGTATAAATGCTCTGTTTCAGACCCAGTTTTCGGCGCACAAACTGGTTTGACCCTGTGGGTCGTGAGTATAAACAGGTTATGGAGAAAGTCGGTGTGATTGACCTGTCACCATTTGGCAAGTTTAAAGTAAAAGGCTCTGATTCTGTTAAACTGTTGGATCATCTATTTGCAAATGTTGTTCCAAAGGTAAATGGGACAGTGATAACTGTTTTAATACAGGATTTAGACAAATTAAATCTATTTCAGAAATGGAAATAGATTATTATATTATTATAATACCTTTCAGATGTCAAACACTCCAGTTCCCTTGGAGAAATTCTTGTGTTAGAAGATATATTCTACTTAATTAGGAGCATGAACAGTTGAGTTTACACATTAGAGCAGCTCCAGCCCTTGCAAAAATCTTTATCTGAAGAAGACCAAGGGAATCTCACCTGTTATTTATTTATTTTTTTTACAGTGGCACTAGAAGTGTTTGGGCTGCCTGTCTAAAATTGTGTGGCAGCTTCAGGCAGCAGGGGAGAACAGTGGACTGTGCCCTTGCCTGACTGTAGCAGCTTGATGTAATCTTTCAGCATGCACAAGGGAATCGTTTTTCTAAATGTGACCCCTGCTTATTTTCAATGCCTCTCATACCAGCCCTGTTGCAGAGTTTTATGCCTGAAGCAAGCAGAACTGTAAATATTTAGGTTGCTCAGCTTCCAAACTCTCACCCATCCTTTCTCCACAACTGTGATTCTGCTCACAGCTCTCCTGAATCAGATGCCATTCTCAGGAAAAGCACACAATGACTACCCACCCCAGCTTTCTTGTTCATGGTAGTGCTCCATGCCTCCCTGTATCTACCTGCTTTCTACTCTCACCCATGTCTGTACTGTCAGAGATGCACCTTCAGTCAGCACGTTATTCATTTCTCCAGTGCTGCTGCCCTGGGGTTTGCTTGTTTCAGCCCAGAATTTCACTGCATTTTTTGCTGTAGTTGACATTTTCAGCTGCTCCAACCACTAGAGGGAGGAAGCAGAGGAAGTAGATTGAGACTATAATCATCTGCTGCATCTGCTACACTACATTGGCTCTGAGGTCAGGCCAAAACGAATGCGAGTGCTGTGCACAGGATGGATGTCCTGGAGCCTTAGGAAAAAGACCAAACTGAGTTACTGTGTTACATTTTGTTCTTTGTATTAAATCTATGATAGCAAGGTAGATTAAAAATTTCCTACTTGTCTTCTCTGTAACCTGGGGTAGAGGTGGGGTAGCTATGTCAGCCACTGGCATGGATAACATTTGCTATAGATGTGTATGGGGGGAGGAAGCAATATTAAGTAAGAAATTATGAGAAAAAAGGCACATTTTTCTATGAATTTTAATCAGTGTTGCTAAGGGGAAGAAAAAAAGACAGGCAGCAAAACAGAATGAGCGGTTTATGAGCCCTCTTAAGAAAATTCGTCATTCATAACAGTTGATTATTTAGACACCCAAAGTCTGATTTTGTTATCTTTTATGTCTGGATCATAAAATAATTCCATGAAGATACACTTGTATCACAACCAGGTAGGGTGCAGCTGGCATCAGAACCTGATCATTTAACTATGTATCTGTAATATACTAGCATTTATGTTAATATAATATGACCGTACAAATTTTAATGTCCGCAGTATTTTTACTTCTTCCATTCATTGTTTGAAGTCTGGCACTGACGAGGAGATTGGCAAGATTCTCATGTAAACAGGATGAAACATAACAGATTAAATTCTGCTTCTGGAAGCAGATAAGCACAGCAGCTATGGCTTGTTCACACTCTGACTTGTATGGATGATGAGCAAACATACATTTTATGAGCACAGCTGAGTAACTCTTGTTGGAAATTTTACCTCAAGTGCTTACATTCCTACACAGAATCCTGACTCACATAAGCAGAGGTTGAGAGTCATTACACAAGGCCACAAAGTCATCAAGCAGTTCACTATTTCTTTCTTTAAAGTAATAGGGTTTTATTTAGAACAAAGTATGTTATTCTTTGGGGATCTGAAAGCTTTATTCACTTGATTCAATAAGAATATTTATGTCAATAACAGAAGCAATTTTGTATTCTGATGGTTATTAAACTAAAAGTAATTGGATTCGTTCACTTTGAAAGTGCTTTCTTAGTCAACTGTGGATTAAGAAAGCCTCCTATAATAGACAATTAATAAGTTACAGAAGTCTTGATTCATGTAATTTCAAAAATAATTTTTTCTAGGAAGAAAAATTGAAATTTCCACTGTAAAGTTTAAGGCTGGCCGGTTGGGTATCTGTCCTATCCTACTGTGGCACAGCAGAACAAATATAGAAAAAAAAATCTTTCAAGTAAAGTAAGGTAGTTGAAGACTTAAGTACAAAATCATATTTCCATATATTTTCAAATATTTAAGAATTGAAAGATTTTACTTTGCACATGTGATAATTCTGAATTCTATTCTATAGGTTGGTTCTACAAATATAAGTCATATGTTAACACCAACAGGAAAAGTATACGCTGAACTAACAGTCTCTCAACTGGATCCAGGGGAATTTATGCTTGTGACTGGCTCTGGGTCAGAACTCCATGATCTGAGGTAAGTTTAATTTTGATGCAGTAAGAACACAATGCTGTACAGCCGTGATAGTATAGATAATATATAGAGATAATGTATGTGGTAAAGTCCCTTGTCAAAGGGGCCAAATTCTTAATTAATTTCAAAGAGAAATTTCACCATGTTTAAGTGAATTCTTTGTATGTAAACTTAACTGAAGTGACTCCTGAAGTAGAGTAGTTGTATATTGGAATGCCTTTGGTGTAAAAAGAAAAGATGGACAATTTACTGATAGTTATGTAACCTACTAATATAAGTAGTTGTTGTTTTGTTGTGACTTGTGTTTGGCACTGTATGGTAATACAGACCAGAGTTGTTCCTTTCCAGTGTTTTCTCTTACACAAAAAAGATTGGCATTAAACAACAATTACCACTGAGGCACTGACTTAGCCAGTAAAGATGGGTAGTGCAGTCTTCCTAATACTGTGAAAGTGCTTTCTGGGCTTTTGAGCTCTGGGATCACAAAGTGAAATGAAAGAAAGGAAGGAGATAGAAAGAGATAGAAACACTTGCAGGATGACTGCATTAATTTTTTTTGTAAGACTGTGCATTGTAAGTGAAATTTCTGGTCCTATTAGTGATTGTACAACCATACTGAAAAAAGATTTTCCATACTGGAGAATAAAATGTGTGATTTGCTAACAAACCAGTCCTTAAAATTAAGCAAAACATAAAAGACTGAGATTTGCTACCCCAACACATGGTGAATAATGTGCTGTTCTCTAAGCCGTCTCATGGGAACCAGTAGAAGATTAAAGCATCAAATGCAAGGAGAAAAGGCAAAACCAGGCTGAATGCATCTACTTGTAAAGAATTTCAGCAGCTCTATTCGGTTTTCTCCTGTGCCTTAGATCTCTTAATATTGTATAATAAATCAGTATTTCATAAGATTTAAAATTTACCCTTTCATTTATTTTGAGAGCTTCCTGAAAAACAATACCTAGCTGATGCTTTTGACCAAATCAAGACTCAAAACCAAACTTCCTGCCAACACTTAAAATACTGTACCAGGAAGGAGTAAACCCAGCTATACATTCATGTTAACACAGAATTATGCTAACACAGAAATTTATATTGAGATTTCTGATGTTTATTATGTTTATGTGCTGACTTTATTAATGGATACAAAAGCAGGTCTGTATTCAAGTCCTATGACCTCACTTCTTTCTCTCATCTCGAAAATCCCATTTTACCCGTTTAAATTCCTTCCTTTCCTTGCTGTATCCCAGATGCCTGTGTTATGGTACTAGTTTTCTCAACAGAAAATGCTATTTTACATCAGTGATGCATGTGATTATTTAATGTACTTTTATTGGTTTTGAAAAGGTGCTGGGGCTGGGAATTGCTAGGAAGATTAATGCTAAAAAAATTCTTCTTTTCCAATGTTTATCTAAATCAGTAACTTTTCATGCAAAAATCACTATTGTCTTTTACATGCAGATGGATAGAAGAAGAGGTGGTCAGAGGTGATTACAAAGTTCATATAGAAAACATGACAGATGAGATGGGAGTACTTGGCATAGCGGGTCCCTATGCACGGCACGTTCTCCAGAAGTTGACAACTGAAGATCTGAGTGACAGTTCATTTAAATTTCTGCAGGCCAGACATTTGAAACTTGCAGGTATTGCTGTTACTGCTATTAGGATATCCTACACAGGTAAGACTCTTAAGGAAACTAGTTAATAAATAAATAAATAAATAAATGAAACTAAAATTATGTTGAGAAATAAATCTTATTGTGTCTTCATAAGCAATAGGTTTGTCACATTTTATATATAAATGTGTGAGAAAACCCAGTATACTGATTTTCAGATGTGATCTGGTCAGAGTCTGCACTGTGTTTTCCAAGATCTTTTTCTCTAGAATACTCTACCATGTAAATATTTATTTTGCAGAACAAAAGGCCAGTTCTGATAACCTCTGTGGTATTTGCTGCAAAACCAATGTCAAGAATTGTTTTTGGATTATCGTATAATAGTGTTTGTCAAATCCTTGAAAATGTAACACTGAAGTGCTAAGAATTTACTTTTTTTCTCTGTTATTTCATTTTTCTTTATTTCTGTGTTCATTTCTACTGTAGTGGACTAAATTAAGTGCAATTTGAAGCAAGCAAAGTTGTTGTAATTCAAATTTCCTTTCCATTATACTGAATATGATAAAATACTGCCTTTATCCTTATTTACATAGCCAGTTATGTTTGCTGTTCTCTTGCCAATTTGTCATCTGTTTTTGATTTCCTTAAGCTTCATCTCTCACTGTGACTTCATTGCATGTCTTTTTCTTATCAATTATTCTTTATTTTCCCCTTATTTCAGGTAACAGTTTTAATAGTTGTATGACTGTTTAATATATATCTTCTAGTGGTGCTTGCAGGTAATTTGGTAATCACTAAGTCCTTACGTTGTACCTGTGATAGAACTATATTAATTAGGATTATTTCAGTCTTGAGTTGATTAATGTATTAAACTTGTTTGTATAACAGGTGAGCTGGGCTGGGAGCTCTATCACAGAAAGGAAGATTCTTTGACTCTTTATAGCGCTATCATGGAAGTTGGGCAGAAAGAGCAGATTGACAACTTTGGAACATATGCTCTGAATGCTTTAAGGTTGGAAAAGGGTTTCCGAGCCTGGGGGGCAGAGGTCAGGAAATATAATATTTTTATAACTCCTTCTGTTTATTTTCTTTATGATTATAAAAATGATTAAAAATATGATTATTTCAGCCAGAGCTGACACAGATAATATTTGTTCCAGTTCTGGCATTAAAATAAAATTTATTTGGAGCAGGGAAAACCACTATAACTGGGAACAGTACGTTTTCTGGATAAAAATAGCTAATATATTTGAGGCAATTGTGACAGAGGCATTTATTTTGATTCACTGATACACTTTCATCTTGATTATAATCAAAATTTGAGGGCTTCCTGAGTTCCAGCATTTTGAAATCAAAGCTTTGGCTAGTAGTTTCTGAAAATGCTTTATTTCTGTAATGACTGTGTTATGGGTGGCCAATTATTCTTGCTTCATAACATATTTTGAATTTTTCATTTCTCATTAACTTGTGTCTGCTGTATTTGCTCGTTTGCAATAAGGAACTATTTAAGTGGCCTAAAAAACTTCAGGAAAGGAAAATCAGGATAATTTCTGCTTCCCTGATTTTTTCCCAACTCTCTGGAAAGGAAAGATCCTGGAAAGTCAAAATACTGTCTTAGAAATCCTTTCCCTTTGTCTACTGATAATTATTTTCATTTTAACTCTATATGCTGCCTGACAAACCACTCCCCCTACTACCCAAGGGGGTGGTAATAGCAGGTGGTAAGTATAATTGGCACTGTATATTTATTTCCCTGTCAGCCAAGGCATTCTGTTGCATTGCAATTAATATGTGTACCTCGTTTATTTGAGCTTTTGCAGGCTTGACACTGCTTTGACAAAAAGTCTTGTTTCTAACTGAAATTTGTATTTATTTTGCATCCAGAAAATTAGATGCCTGATTTGTATATCTACACGTCATATTAAGAATAATAGTAGGTGCTCTGCTGAAAATCGCGTGTAGACAGCTCACAGTTTGTTCAAATGGAAGTTACACAAATAGAGCACAGAGACATTCAATCAAGAATAAGTAGAAGGGTGCACAGCAAAAAAGAAAAAAAGCTATGGTAATCCTTCATATGTGGATTTAGTATTTCTTTTTTTCTCAGATGAACTGTGACACTAATCCATTGGAAGCTGGGCTGGAATATTTTATAAAGCTAAATAAGGTAAGTTTATGTTTATAAGTATGTATACATTGTTTTCAAAGCATTTTGTTACCTGCAAGTTTATTTCTGTGTTTGGAAGGAAGAATGTTGTTATGAGTAAAATGGGTATTTGCAAATGAGGACGTCTTTCTGCGCTGGATACAATAGTAATTGCTCTATTAAGTACAAGTTTACTGAAAAAAAAGTTTCATACTTTTCTATAATTCTTGCTGACAAAATTGTGCATTAGATGAAGAAGTTGCAAATATTCAATTTAGTGTTGACTATGAGGAATTTAACTTATTAAAAATAACTCTTTGAATGAAATAGCTTTCTAGACAAATTTGGGTCATGTACTCTTTAAAACTTACAGTATGTGTATACCAACTGAACTGGCCTATTCGTATTATAAAAAAGTGAAACCACTTTATCTGCTTATTCTTATTAAGGAAGTTGTCTGTAACCTCCTTTTCCCTAGCTCCCACTCTAGTATGGAAATTACTGAAAAAAATATTAGTTTGGAAGAACTGTGGACTGACAGCTTGGATGTGGGTCAAATGTAAGATAAATGATTACGTTGGTTAAAAAAATACTTATTTGTTCATAGAATTTCTGAAGAGGTGCCCTCCTTAGAATTTCTCACCTAATGTGAATTTCAGAGTTTAGGAGTAGACATACTATCCACCTCCTTTTTATTTTCTTTACCACTTTCATTTTCCTAGAATATTTTAGCAAAACAAACTCTGTTTATGGTCTAAGAGCTATAGAGATAGTTTGTCATTACTCTTTCCAGTCCAAAACAAAACCAGAGCAAGGGTCCAAACTCCTGGTCAAAGAGAGAACCTTTCTGTGAAACCTGGTGAAATCTTCACCCATGCAGCTCTAGTGCCATCTCTTGCTGCCAGTTAGCCTCAAACTGCGGTTGCCTACACGGTGAATGTGAAGTTTGGAACATTAGAAAATAACAATAACAAAAAAAGTGCTAGACATGTCGAGTTAGGTGCCCTAAATTAGGGAATACTTATGACTTAATCTTTATGCCTCAAATTTTTGTCTGTAAAATGGAAGAAGCACCAACATTTTCACATAAGGGAAAAGTGAGAAGAAAAAATAGTGTTTGTGAAGCATTTGGTCTTTACAATTATGTAATATAGTACAGGGGAAAATTCTCTTCTTATTTATTCTCACTTTGACAAGGTATTTTTTGTCATGTCTTGGTGATGTACAATAAGCAAATAAGCAACATATAGTAAGCTTTGGGAAGGCGAGAATTATGGGCAGATATCAAACCTGAAATGATGCTTTTACCGATATGAACAAGTTCTCTGGGAGAAACAGGAATGAGTGCAGAAAGATGCCTTTTCTCTCTATCTGCAGCACTTACCTATATGCAGCAAAATTCTTCAATCTATGCAGAACTGATAAAAACCCACTTTTATCCCAAGCTGACATCAATTTTTGCTCTAACATAAAATACAAGTTCTAAATTCACTTGTGCCCAGCTACAGAGCTCACAGGAGGGTATGGTGCTCCCAGCGAGTCAGGGAGTGCAGTGGAGTCCTGGCTGGGCTGGGATTTTGCCCTAGTCACAGAAAACTGTGCCTGCGGAGGAAATAGTCTGATATAACAGGAGAGTGTTTTGTTTACTCTTGAAGAGCTTTTATAGATTGAAGAGAATGCAGTGAAAAACATTACTGTTTATATTTTCTTTTTTGTTAGTATAAGCAGGGTAAGCTGTTACTTGCCAAGATGCCAATGTAGAATATATGAAGGCACTAATGTGCCTGAAGCACTTCATTCTGTGCTGTTCTGCGCACTTTTCTGCAAGGTTAAGATGCAAAGGTGGAGCAGCTTTCTGAAGCAGATATTCTGCTCCAGATATGTATACTGTGCACCTATGAGCAAAGAATAAAATGCCACTGTAGATACAGGATGCCAGCCTAAAGCCCTGGCCAGTTAACTAATGTGAAAAAGGAAATAATCTGTTTATTTATAGACTCAGAAAAATGGGCTGTTACAACTGTATGTTGACACTGCAGAGCTACCAAGTCACACTGGAAGCAGTCTAAACATTAGCATGAAGCACCACATGAGTTTATTTACTCTGCTTCTTGACAGTTTGTGGTTACACAAATCCATGCTTTTAGTTTTGGTGTCCATTTGGCAAGGCATGGACCTCGCGCTTTTTTGGTGGATCGCATGTCTGAAAACAAGCAGAATGTAGTTTTTATCTGTGCTTCTATTACGAAAGAAGGTTTTAAAGTGTTGTCATTGTTGTTGTTTTGAGAAAAAGAAAAAAAAAACAGACTATGAACTGTAAGCAGCAGTTTTCTTCAGCTCGAGTTAAATCTGTTTGACATCTCAGCCTGTAATTTCTGGCGAGGATTACTTCCTTTAAGTGTGCGCCCCCAGCTAGGGAAGGTGCTAGTTTCTTTATAGACTTAGAAAGAATATATGCTGCAACCTGGAAGGCAGAGCTTCTTAATGCTCAACAGACAGCTGAAAGAGTCTGCAAATTGAGCAAAAATACTTCCCTTCAGAATAATTAAATCTTGAGTGGTATGTCATAGACAATGTAAACGCTTTATAAATAATGTGAATGAACAACCAAATATCAATGAAAGTAGCACAATCAAAAAGTACTTTAATTTCCTCAAGAGGCCATTCAAAGAGCTGGGAAATAAATATAAAGAAAAGTAAATTCCGAATCAACTTTGTTAACAAAGTTTACAAAGGTTTTAGAGTATCTGTCATCTTCAGGAACACAAGGGCTAATCGTTCTCTTGATGATGAGGGACTCTTAAGTTTAAGTTGAAATGCCTCTTTGTGATCTAGTCAGTTATAACAAGACAATAATCAAGCTGTTTCTCCTTCATCATTATTGTGGCAAATACCTTTTCTTCAGTGACACCAAAGAGATAGCCTTGTTCTAGGTTTTCTCTGCCCTCTGCTTGATGTTCCTTTTTCCTCTGGCTGTTGAGGACCCTGTTCCTGTGAGCAGGGTGGACTGTGATTAACCAAAGTGGAGGGACAGCAGCAGTATTATTTTTTTACTGGAGAGCGTTTGTTGTCTTCCTAATGTCTATAAAAGATGTTTGTTTTAGGTGTGGGATTTTTTTTTTTAATATCCGTGGTCTTTGGTTTATAAAATTTGTCTAACTGTTCTTTTTTTTAGATAATTCCCCTCAGTAATATTTTAATCTCTTGAATAAGCATGCTGTGACTAAATATCCACCAGATTCTTAATGCCCTTAAGGGTAGTTTGATAATTTGATTTCTGCCACACATATGAACTTTCTCTGGTTAAAGTGGTTGGACCTGTAGCATATAACACCTGAATGTCTTTTCTTTTTTAAAGTTCTGCTTTGAAATTAACTGCTTTTCCAGATGTGTTTATAGAAATAATAAGCAATCTCCAGATATTAACTTACTTCAAGCCCTTATTCTATGCTAGAATATATCTATGTTTACCTTGCTGTATGTATAAAGGTCATGTGTAACATTATAATGACCTACCAGTCCTGGACATCGTCCCTTGGGTAATCTAGTCTAGGGATTCACTATCCTTGTGTTAGAAAAATGCTTTTTGTCTTGTATCCTAGACCTTTTTTGCCACACTTCAAACTTATTACTGCTTATTATGTTCACTTATTACTGCTTATTATGGCATAGAGAATAAGTTTTTTCCTACCTTTCAGAAGCTCTTTATGTCATCAGAAAAAGCCAGCACGTGCTTTTTCATTCATCTCAACTGTTTGAATATTAGTAGCTGATATAGTATTCTTAAGATAGCCTGTTTGTTTTCTGGATCATAATGGTCCAGAAGGCCCAAGAGACCTCATGTTACAGAGAAATTCTCCATAATAGTCTGAACATCTAACAGAGAAGAAATCTTTCAGAATGATTTTCCATGTTAATTCAATAGTGCCCGTAATCACCCAGAGTGCACAACTATAAAATTCCATGCGTAACTGTTTCTAAAGTCTATTTTATGCTAGAGTGCCATCTCCTGGGCACTCTCTGCAGCAACAGCTCCTCTTTAAAAATAGGGTGAGGGAGGAAAATCCCTTCAAGAGTCTGTTCTGCTGCGCTCTTCTGGGCTTGGGGCTGAGTGGTTGGCTAATACTTGGCATTTGTTGCCATTAAGAGAAGATAGTGTTATCAGAGCCAGGTATTTATTTGTTTCTCTTTGTTTACAGAACTGAGATAGTTTTCACTCTCTATTGCAAGCCTCTTTCTTGGTTATACATTATGCCAAAATCTCTCATTGCTTCTTTCTCATGGCCAGAATTATTGCATATGCACTAGAATTTTTGTTTAGTATGCAACAGAATTTTTGTTTGCTGCCTCTGTTGTCTCTTCCATTGCTCCTTTCCCTGCCTGCTTCTCAGTATTTCTCTCATCTCCACCAGCAACACGCAGTACCTGCCTGCATTTAGCTGGCCAGAAATGCCCTTTAGGATCCAGGTCCCATCTCTCCTTCTGACTTTGGCATCAGATTTCTGGCTTTCACTCTTGCACCTGTTACCTAGACAAGCACTTAATTAACTCTCTCATTTATCATGATTAGAAGGTAAATGTCGTGCTTAACAGCTTCATGCAAATGGGTGGCTATGTATAAATCAAAGGGAGAGTCCTTGAGCTTGGTCTGACCTCCAGGATAACTGTACATAACTTGTTACTGACAAGCTCAGGTGAGCAGCTCTAAGCCTGTGCTGCACCCATTTTTGTAGCAAGTACCTCCTCTTTCCAGCTGTTTGCCTCCTGTCCCCTCTCAGTTCTGTCAGCCCAGCTGTTTGTGTTACAGCACTCAGAAGCAATGTGCTCTGGTTTATTAAAGCACAAAACGGTACATCCTTTTAGAGAAGGATTTTTTTCCATTACTCATGGATGCAGTTCTGGAAAAGAATACCCCACAAGCCTGAACCGACACCATTAAGGAGAGCAGAGCACACCTTCCATACAGGAGCCTTAGCAGGAGAGTTTCACTCACTTGTGCCATTGGGCCTGAGGGTTTCTGT